CCCCCCCCCCCCCCCCCCGCCCCGCGGGGGGGGGGGGGGGGGGGGGGGGTACGCAGAAGTGGGGTAGGGGGTACCGGTTACAACAGCAGTCATCACCGTAAGATTTTGCGGTTGAGGCCGGGACTCCGAGTAATACGTGGCGTTCGTGGTTGAGGGTCTTCACCTCCAGGCGTTGGTTCTTGGTTGGAGGGGTTCGGCTATTCTTGCAATGTACAACCGATTTCAGAACCGTTTTTATCAAACCAAAATGACCGTTGTGTCGAGAAAAAGCAAAAGGGTTCATATAGGATCGGTGTTGTGCCTGAGGGACAACGACACAAACACACACGGAGAGATGACCATGGGACAGACACGCGAAGACCCCAAGAGAAGCGGGCCAGAGATATCAAAGGTCAAAGGTGATGCAAGTTTCAAAGACGTGCAAGTGGCATCGGAACGGCGTGGAACACGCTAGCGAGGTAAGACCTTCTACAAGGGGTATTGTAGCAGGACCGAGTACCACCCCCCTCCCCCGCTTCATCGGTGATCGGTCCCGTGCGAATAATGCCCCACCCTCTCGAGGATGCGTGGTCAATGGTCTGTGTAACAACTAAATACGGCATGCACAACATTAGTACGCCCCCCCTCCCAGCCCTCCTCCCCTATTGTTCACAGGATACACACGCAACACCGGAAAACAAACGACGATGCTCAATGGAGGGATGGTCCAACTAGTCGCACGTACGGCATCGGCATATTTCTCCTGAGAAGCTATCGAGGTTTAACATTCGGCACACCACCATGCATATGCTGCACTTTGCCGCATCGGCAATTTTTGTCCTTGAAGGAATTATCGAGGCTCGAATTTCGGCATTCCACCTCGATTTACTCTGCGACTTACCCCCCTCTATACCCCTGCCGTCGGACCCTGCCCTGGGGCGGGTTGCCTAGCCCTCCCGGTACCTCACCGTGCTTCCACGACCGCCACCCCCCCTGCGCTCAGCCCGTTCAGCCACGCCGCCACTTTCTTCACGGACTCTTGGGCCGCGATCGTCTCCAACGCCGCGGCTTTCCCTGGCAAAGGCAAGGGGGGGGGGCGGGGGGCGTGTACTCATATTCGTGCATGCCGTAGTCGTTAGACCATGGGCCTCGCATCCCCGTAAAGCCGGGACGGAGCACGCCAGGTTCTCACCGGACCAGGCTCTCACATCACCAAGCACGGAGCGCCGTGAGGTATTCGGCGAGCCGCATGAAGGGTGCGCTGCATCCTGCTAAGGGTGTTCGGCATCTTGTGCTTACTTCCTTGCGTACGGATGACAGCGGCGTATGACTTAATTTATTTTCTGGTGCTTTCACTTCCGGAGACATTCATAAGCACTGCGCAACTTCCTCAAGAATGCTTGACCATTCAACGCAACGTGGTGCGATCATCCCCCTTGCGCGGAGTGAGGGTTCTCGACCCCGCACAACATGATCCACTCGACCACCATTATGGTTACCACAAAAAAAAAAGAGGTGAAAAACAAAAAAATGGTAACCTGGTTGCCGAGTTCACGAAGTGAAATGGTTTGTTTTACAACGTCGTTGCCAAGCGACGGCAACCCAATCCCGATGGCAAACACCGAGAGGGGTGCTTGGTTTACAACGTCGTTGCCAAGCGACGAAAACCC